ATATTCAAAAAATGATCTTCTATAAATATTGAATAAAATGATGCTCACTCACAATATGCAACTAATATTTTTTTCCATGTTCCTTCTTTAAAATTCAGAATAGAAAGTTGTTTAAACTTGTTTTAAAGTCTAGTTTTAGCACCATTAGGATATACAAAGGAAGAAGACAACTAGAAAACAGGTCTACAAATTTTGCTACAAATACCCTAAAACCATCTTCTTTTATACTCATAGCTGATATTATTTGGTCTTCTTGCCTCACTCAAAGAAGTGAATCTATTTATGTACATTTTTAGATAAAGCACAAGAATCCCCTAGTCTAGTAGATATCTCTCCCCCCCTCCCACCTCATTTGTGATTTAAAAATGAAATGAAAAATTTAATTCATTGCAGATGACGGTGATGATGATGATTTATATTTAAGGCAAAATTCCTTTCATTGATTCTCCTAAGCAGCCAACTCGGAGCAGCCTGGCCTGTTTTCACTTGGGAAATAAAAGCCAATTTCTAAAAGAGCTCTTTAACTGTGACCAGCCTTGCTGATGGAACAAAAGAGGAGCTATAGACCAATGGCTTCTTCTCAGAACATTTGTCTGTTTATGGGACCAGCACTGTATAATGAGCAGCTCTCTTTTTTAAAATCACAGAATGACCTAATGCATCAATACTTTAAATGTTATAAAAAGCATTTGCATACAGCTATCACAAGAACCATTGCCTGTGGAGGCTCCAGCCCCGATTGATGTTGCAAATGAGGGGGTGAAAATATCCCCATGTGTTTCTGAGCAACCTTGGTAAGAAATGAAATGAATTCTTTCTCCTTTGCTTTTCAGGGAAACCTCTTTAGACAAATCTCTTAATTGACACCCAAAATGCAACTAATTCTTTTCTTCATGGACATACACAATCATTTGTCCAACCAAAGGAAAGCAGAAAGATGAAAGGTAAAAGGAGACAACTAAACTTAGAACAAAGGCACTGTGCAAAAGGAGAGGATGAATAGGATTTGAAATGGTTCGCATGGCTCATCCCTAAAACATAATCGCAACACAAACTGCAATGGTTTTCTTAAAAGTGTCCAAACAGACTTTAATTTAAATACAAGTAGTCCTTGACTTACAACCATTTGTTTAGCGAATGTTCAAAGTTACAATCACACTGAAAAAAATGACTTACAACCAGTCCTCGCGCATACCACCATCACAGCATCCCCACGTGGTCAAAATTCAGGCACTTGGCAACCAGCTTGTAAGGTTACAGCATCCCAGGGTGAAGTGATCAACATTTGCAACTTCCTCAGGCAGCTTTTGAGCGGCAAAATCAATAGAGGAAAGCAAGATTCACTTAATGACCATGTGATTCACTTAATAACTGAAATGATTTGCTTAACAACCATGGCACAAAAGGTTGTAAAATCAAGGGCAATTCACTTAACAACCACTTTGCTTAGCAGCAGAAATACTGGTACCAATTGTGGTTGAAAGTTGATTGACAGGGCTAAGTGGAATCCCATACATAGAGAACGATGACCATTGTTCATTTGGCAAATTGGTGTTCTGATGTTGGGATGCAAACGAACTGTTACCGTTCTTCTGCAGTTGATGTACTTTGCCCTAATGGTTAGGACATTATCAACTTGCAAAAATGATAATTTGCATACCAGGGTAAGGTGGGTAAATGGTTCCATTCACTCTTTGACCAAGGCAGGATCAATGACTGGGAAAAGCCATGAAAAAACACAGATCAAAAAGAACTCAAATTTCAGTTCATTGCAAGAGCGAAGTCCAGGATATTATATGGTAGGCGTATTGCACATGTGATGGAGTTTGCTAAAGAATAATTTCTGGGTCCTTCTTTTGGCAAAGATTTATATGGAACTGGCTAGAGTCTACACCATGAGGTCTAAAATTGTGAATTAGAGGAAAATAAATTCAAAAGACGAGTTGCCATTTGGGGTACCAAATCATATTTCTTCCTCGCGTTTAGCTCCAAATGTAAATGTTTGGAAGACCTTTTCCTCAGATGCAAAATATAATTCTTCACAAATGAATTAGCTAAAAGAGTGTGTCTCCGACAGAAATCATAGGACTACCTATTTTCAAGTTCCTTCCTTAATCTTGTTAATGTAACATTTTTAATTATTTATTAATATTTATTGTTTTTTATAAATACCAAGACAACAAACATATCCAACACATCTTCCTCCTCAAATTTTCTCCACAAAAACAACCCTGTGAGAAGGGTTGGGCTGAGGGAGAATGACTGGCCCAAAGTCACCCAGTTGGCTTTCATGGCTAAGGCAAGACTTGAACTCATGCTCTCCTGTTTTCTAGCCTGATACCTTAACCACTAGACCAAACTGGCTCTGTCAAGTGACTGCACCTACACAGCTACAACCCTTGCATATCCTCATCAACCCCCTCACCAATATTTAACTGAGACATAATTCATTCCTGCTAGGCCTCTACCTGTTGGAAATTCTGCAAGCCTGTTTGAAAGCCAGGCAAACTGAAAAGCAAGCAATGGCTCCTCAACAGATTTGAAATCCCATCTCCCATTAGCCTGAAATTATAATATGACTATAGCACATCCCTAGATTACCTCTTACTAAGCAGTTGATCTAGTCATGGTTACTCGGAAGTTCCAAAGTATGACCTATTCAGGATTACCTGGAAGTTCCATCGATTTCAAAGGTCACTCCCATTGCAGAGAATTGGAATTTAAGGATTATTTTTATGGCTTCCTGCTTATCAAAGTTATTTCCTCCTGTAATAGACATGTGTCAAAGATTATCTGAAATGAAGAAGTGCAATCACTAATGGACAACCTTTAAGGCAATTAGCTTTCTGAGTTCAAGGTAAACAAGCAAGATTTATCGCTTGTATATTTACAAGGAAAAAGAAAACCTGAAGTAGAAGAGTTAGAAGAAACACAGTTGCTAAATTTAAACCACATCACCCTTGGACACAGTTGCTACTTAATCGCTTTTGAATATAATTTGCATTAATACACAGTATACACACTTCCATAACTAAAGTCGCAAGATGTTGTGTTGTGCTGGTTCATCTCCTTTCTCCAAGGTTGGTTCCAGTCAGGGGAGGAGAGATCCCATCCCGGCCTATACTATGTGGGTTGCTAAAAGGCTCAGCGCTCTCTCTGCTCCTATTCAGCACCTACACAAGACTGTGAGTGAACTCATTTGTCACCATAGGATGAGGTTTCATCTCCCCAATTACATCCGCTTGTCCCTTTAAATTTGGCAAGAGAGTCATGCTGTACGTCTTGTCTCTCAGGAAATTGCAGCAATAGAAATATCACTTAGACTTATATACCGCTTCACACTGCTTTACAGCCCTCTCTAAGCAGTTTTTTTTTTACAGAGTCATCTTATTGCCCCCAACAATCTGGGTCCTCATTTTACCGACCTCGGAAGGATGGAAGGCTGAATCAACCTTGAGCTGGTGACACTCAAATTGCCAAACTGTTGGCAGTCAGCAGAATTAGCCTGCAGTACTGCATTCTAACAACTGCACCACCACGGCTCTTAGCAATTATACTTGGCAAGTCCAAGGAGGCCTTCTCTATTGTGGTGTCCGCCTTGTGAAATATCCCCCACCCCCACCCCACCCCGAAATAAGGTCAGCTCCATTCCTCCTTACTTTCTGGCAGTCCCTCAAGACATGGCTCTGCCATTAGGCCTGGGGAATCTCAGAGTATAATGTAGTTATTGATGATCCAATCTTGTGTATGTCTGTGTACATGTGTGTTTATATGACTGTATTTGACATGTTTATTGTTTTTATACTTTTGCTATACAGTGTGTAGGGTCACTTCTTATGATAGAAGCAGCCATATAAATTTGATAAACAAAAATTATTTATAAATAAAATAATAATTATGATGACTATAGTACTGTGGCAAAAGAAAGTAAATATAATACCAATAACAATATGCTCCTTGGTGAAATCCCAAAACAACTGGACCACCACTTGAACACTATCAGCACTGACAACATCCCTGTCAGTCAATTGCAAAAGGCAGCTTTACTTGGAACAGCTTACATCCCCCAACAATGTCTTTAACACCATCAGACTACAGTATCTGCCTATCCCAGGTCCTTAGGAGGGATGTGATAGGTGGATTAAAAATTCCAAATCCACTATAAACATCTGGCTGACTATGTGACAAACATCTGACTTAATTGATAGGAATTATTTAACCTATTATGAAACCCAAATAAAATATGGAAAAAAGTTCACATGGAAAAAAGTTAATGAGTCTAGTTGGCCTTCCTTCTTTTAGTGTGTTTGAATCCAGAACTTCCTTCTGCTAAACAAAATAAATTTATACACCAATAACAATTCTGGATTACTATTCTAGCTTCTAAAGAGAGCAACAAGCTAATAATCTCATATTAGACTAAACAAAGCATTTTTAGTTTCTTTAGTTGTTTGTACTAGAAATAAAAGCCAAGCAGGAATGAGTAATCTTAATCCCATTAGTATGCTGCTTGCTCACAATAAACCAGGATTTACATAGATTCAAAGTTCACCAATTGTTCCAGTTTTCTTGGCTTTTTTCCCAACCCCGGTTTGCCCTTTCAGCATTTGGAATGAAGGCATTCTGTTCCTATTAAAGCAGTTTGTAGCAAAGAAAGAGAGTGAAGATCAAATTACAAATTTCCTTTCATCCACTTTGATACACCAGAATGATTGCTGGAATATTACCAGGAGAAAATGAAAAAGCCGTTAGTGACAGTGGTGATTAATTACTAAGTTTGCAATCTGATCTTACTTTCTCCAAGCTTGATTCAAGTAATCTAATTAGCTATCACTCTCTTTTTAAAAAAGTCAAGCCTTTTTTTTTTAAAGTCAAGCTACCATAATATATTAGACCTAATCAACCAAAGAAGGAATACATTATTGCAATTACTACAATTGACTAATACAATAGAGGTTTTAAGGTTCTTTTTATGGAAATAATTAAGTCATATTTCATACCTTCACATACTCCAAAGCTGGATCCATAGCATTCTGGTCTCTGAAAAGAAGTAGCAGTATGTTAGTATAATCATTTTGTATAATTTAAAACAAAATCAGTTTTATCTTGTTATTCCTCTTTTAAAGGAGAGTGATTTAAATCAAGGGAAACAGGGTGGAAAGACAGATTTATTTCTGTTCTTTTTCTACTGGTAGCATCAGAAACCCAATGCAAGATCTGTCTAGCCCCTTGGCCTTGAACAGCTACTGAATTAATTTCACTTCCACTTTGCATCTAGAACAAGTTTTATAGTTTCCTATGCAACTCTTACCATAATGATGTATAAACATGATCTATGCCCTAGCATTATTGAATAAATATGATAAATTATTTTTATTATAAGATCCAATCCCACCCTTGTGTCATGGCAATATTTAGAGATATAATTAATCAGAATCTGGACAATATATAGCACTGGCTTTTTTTCCAGCTATTCAGCAAACATGGGATGAGCTATCAACCCAGCAAAAATTAGTATGATAAAAAACTAAAGTCATAATGGACTATCTATCCATATCTATAGCAGCGGCCCAATTTATAAAATGCTAGTAGTTTCTAATAATAATAAAGTAATTATAACAACGGATGTATGGGAATATCTGGGCAATAGATATATAGCAATAGATACTCCTTATTACCCATCCCCTCCCACTTGTAATTGTAGGACTGTAACTTTGTCGCTTGTATCCTTACGATTTACACTGACTGTTTCTTAATATGATTTGATTGCTTATTGTACCCTATGACTATCATTAAGAGTTGCACCTGATGATTCTTGACTCTTGACGAATGTCTCTTTTCTTTTATGTATACTGAGAGCGTTTGCACCAAGACAAATTCCTTGTGTGTCTAATCACACTTGGCCAATAAAGTATTCTATTCTATTCTATTCTATTCTATTCTATTCTATTCTATTCTATTCTATTCTATTCTATAGTCAAACAGTAACAATGCGCAGAGAACTCCCTGAAACATTTGCTCTAAAGGACTGTAATCTTCCTACAGAGCATGAATACTATAAACATTATATTCATAAAGAAAATATTTAAAAAACACAAAATGCCATATTTATAATATTAATGGTACATTAATGGCAGGAAGTATTATTGGGTTTCGAATAGAGAAAAAAAATAGCTTGCTTCACTGAATAGACCTATAGTATCTTTCTCCATCATTCTTCCCAAATGTGAGTGAAAAGAAATTATTTCTCTCCAACCCCACTCACCTCCCTCTCCCCAAAATGATTGGAAGACAGCTTTTAAATGCACTTAATAAATTGGGATGAATGAATAAGAAAGGAATTGAATCATTAAAGAGACAATGAAAACTACTTTCATTTTCTAAGCAGTAATTGAAATAATACCGATTTCTATAATAAGCCTTTTGAAGGATGTAGCATATGAAGGCAAATGAACTGACTTTTAATGGAAAATACAGAATTATTCTGTAGTTTTAGAATAAAATAACAAATTGACAGAGATGTTATTAAGAAGTACAGATATAGGGGTGATACTATGCTCTATTATATAGGGGTTCAAATTACTTTCCAGGTTTAATACTGTACTGAATAGAAGTTGATTTTATATTAAATCACTTTGAATAAAGCATGATTTAAAAATAGTTTTTTTTGGTGGGGGGAGAGGTGTCCCAAACCTGAACAATATCTTATAAATCAACTTTATTAGAAATTAATTAGACAAATTCACATAAGAAAGAAAACCAGATATGAACTTTTTTCTCCTTTAATGATAGTAGATCCAAACTTTGAACTCTCACAATTTCTTACCACTAGCCATGCCGATCAGAGTGGATGGCACTTAAAATCTAAAAAAGTCAGAAGAACACTTGATTCCTTCACCTACTTCTGTCCTTAGTGACTAACAAACCTACACTATAAACCATAATGCATTTGTTAGTGTTCAATGTTACAAGGATCTTTATTTTTCTATGCGTGTCTTCCTGCCCTCTCCTTTGAAGATAACACCAAGTATCTGATGAAAAAGAATAGTCGTTATGATCTTGCGCTGAATGCATGTATTAGTTGCATGCATACATTGTTTTTGTTTACTGATTAACCTGGCTGTTCCACTGGAAAAAGCTTTTGGTGGTGCTGAATGACAAGCGCTATCAAGTCCTATTCCTGCAGCTTCAAACAGGATATTTATTAAGTTAATCTTGTGCTAGCAATTCAATATCCAACTTCAGGAGACACGACTTTGGAACTAATCAGACTAGGAACCTTCTAACCTCTGTCTATTGTTGGAAATCAGATTTTTTTTTTGAACTCTTTGAACTCTACAAACCGGAGGTCTAATTCATATGTTCCTCAGATATGACAAAATCACCCCTATCTTCAGCAATTAACGCAGATAACACTAGCACATACCAGTAGTGCTTTGTAGAAAGAAAGAGAACAAAAAGATGTAACCTTTAATTAAACAGGCTACAAAACAATGGTTTACACTGGATTTGATACGGAGAATCACGATATCTGTACTCATCAAACCAGAGTTAAGGGAGGTCAGAACAAAGAGACAGGCTGTATCTCTCTATTAAAAAAAGCAGTAAGGGGTTCAACTTGCTTAACTAAATAGTTTGTTAGCTATTTGAAATCTTAAGCAACATAGTTCATGTAGTAATCATTATCCATTTTAACTGCATCTATAAGATCCAAGAAGATAGAACAGATCTCAAGTCACTGGTTGGGTCTTTCCCAATCTAGTATATTCCAGTTGCAAGTAGTGGACAATGAACCTGGGAAAATGTACTTTGTACACTTCTAGAAGGAAAAACAAACTTCACAATCTACAATCCTGCATTGGACATCAGAAGGGAAAACGGGGAGCTTTTGTCATAAATGCCACCATTGCACGTGTTGTCATAATTTTTGATGCAGGCTTCATTTGCTGTAGATACCTACATCAACATCAACCAGAACAATATAATGACTATTTGAGGCATTCTAATTCCATTTTTCATTGACACACGTATTTATATGAATTTAGGAGCAAGTCATCTGGAAAAAAAAACACTCACAAAGTTTATAATGCAAGTTCTCCACTCTTGTTGAGCTGATGGGTACATTCAACATTTTAAAATCAGGTTTCAGGTTTTCTCAGACAATGGCTATAGGTTTGCCGATATCCACAATCGCTATCAGCATGATTAGTCAGAAAACATCAGTTACTGTCTTCTCACACTGGATGTTCTCTGCATTATCTTCATCTTTTTTCTGGGCAAGTGGACACCCTTCCAGACAAAGCACAGGACTGTAGCTATCCAAAATTCCAAATTTCTAAAAGAATTAATAAAGCCTTTTTGTGGCTCAGCTGCATTCTTGGAAATAAAGAAGCTGGCTGTTTATTTTGTAGCATGCAGCCTTTCTGCTGAAAATCAAAAGAATTTGTTTTAAAATTCAAAAAGAGTGGGCAAGGAAACTGGGTGGGATCAAAAGAAGTGCCAGTAGCACATTAGGAATCCTGGTTATAGTTGAAATACTGTCTAGCTATTGTTCCAAATACTATTTTTGTTCATTTTGATAAAGAGAGATTCTAAAGAGTTCCATAAATAAAGCTTTTGCAATTTCACATTGTGTGTGTGTGCCCTTCATCCAGTCCTTATCCCCTTCTTCCTTTGGAAGATCTCTGGTTACAGGTCTTCTTCTGAAGATGAAAATACTATATCTCTTAAGATCATCAATTTCCCTTCTCTCAATTATTTTGCACATATATATGCAGGCAAACCCAGAAAACCAATAAAGTGAACTGCTAATGTTGCTCTTTTCATCAGTTCTAATTAACATTTATGAGGCCACCAGCAATAAACCTACAGGATTATAATTCCACTCAAACACAGCTGCGCAGGAGTCCTCTTACATCAATTGTAGCTGAAAGCTTGTCTCACCACCTTAATCAACTGCTTTTCATCTGGTGTTATAAAGTTCCTAGTTTGAAGATGTTTGCCTTCCTGGAGAACCCCAAGTCATTCTTCTTTTTCTCATCTCTAGTGCTGTTTGCTTACAGGCTCTTTCCTGTAACTGCCAAAGGATAGCTTCCACTGATGTATGTTGAAAATCAACTAACCCAGTGGTGTCACAAGCGCTGACTCCACAAGACTGTTTGGCTTCCCAGTGATCAGATAAACCCAATTCCCATGTCAATAAAGGGCCATTTGATGTAGCTCATTAGCATTGGAAAGAAAAAGTGGTTTCATCCTTCAAAAGATAAAAGAACTAGGGCAACAAAAAGCAACTTCCCATCTAAAAGAAATGTTAACTTCTGGACATATCCTGATTCCTGCCATAAGCACTAAAACAGAAACACGTACACACTAGGGGTAAAAAAAAGCCAGTTGTAAATGCTGCTATCTTTAGTGTACTAATATTCTGAAACACCTATTTACAAGTGACATTTTACTGTCTAATAATCCAGCTTTATCTGTAGAAATTTATGGAGGGTTTCTATTTTTAATCTACTCAGGATCTTCCCATCATGCAGACTATCTTTTTCTTTACGCCAGAAAAAAATATATTCTAGTGGGACAATGGAATAGAACTAGTGACTTTTAACTAAATTTATCTTGGCTACTAAAGCTAGACTGTGAAAATGCAGACACTCACTATATGACAGATCATTGGCTCTGAGCTTCACACATCCAATTTGAATAAAGGCCATTGGTAGAAGACACAATAATGTGGTTATCATTCTCCGCTCCATTCTTGACATTCATTGGCAAAACTTTAGCTAGGACATCTTGGATCATGCACAGTCTACCAGCATGGAGTCCCTGATTATCAGAATCCAGATGAGATGGGGGGAAGGGAGACACATCATCAGAATGGATGATCACCATATGCCTAAACAATTGATTAATAGTGTGCTGAAGTCTGGGAAGAGACCTTGAGATTGGCCACTCAAGGGCTACAAAGGAAACCCTACAACATTTTGACATCCAACCAGCTGCTGACAGAACCTACTGAAGAACCCTGGACCATGAAGCCT